AGAAGAGCAAACCACTGACCACCTGCTGCAATGCAACCTGAGCCCTGCCACATGCACAATAGAGGACCTTCTCACAGCGACACCAGAGGCACTCCAAGTGGCCAGATATTGGTCAAAGGACATTTAATCAACTACCAAGCTTGAAAATTATGTGTTTTGTCTGTTTGTTTGTTTTTGTTAAAAATGTAATACAAATGTCTGGTTGCCTATGAAACAATAAATAAATAAATCTATATGAACATATCTATCTATAGATATAAATACATATATAGAATGTATCAGTCAATTGATTGATCAATACAGAATCTATCAATCTATATCTATACCCTTCTACATATAGATTATATATGTCTACGGCTGTTAGGAATTGTGGGAGTTGAAGTCCAAAACACCCGGAAGGTCGATGTTTGTCCATGCCTGTTCGGCAGTATGGATAATATATCAATTGATGCAGGAATATGCTATTTTATGTAAGCCACAAAATAACCCACAACTTTCTCTAAGTCTTCTGATATAACTGTATGAAATTCACATTTAACTGTACTGATAACAGATGGGAAGCCAACTGTGGGTTGTTTTTTGCCCCAAATTCAACAGAACAAGCCTCTCCTTGGTTTTCTAAACACTCGCTGATTTGTTAACATCGCCTAATTCAATCTATAAATAGTCTTTGAATGCTCTTGTGGTTCTGGAAGGAAGACTTGCACAAATAATTATGACCAAATTCACTATTTACATTGGTGGGATTCACTATTTACATTGGTGGGATTCACTATTTACATTGGTAGGTAGGCACTGCAACTCCCATCATCCTCTTCCAATCCTCTTGAAACCCCACCAATTGGTCATGATGGGTATGCATGCCAGGTTTCGGCCAGATCCATCATTGGTGGGATTAACACGGCTCTCCAGATGTGGGTGGACTACAACTCCCATCATCATCAATCACACACACCCAATCCTTCAATGGTTTTAAATCATATCATGGCATGTATGTCATGTTCGGTCCAGATCTATGTACGTTGGTGGGATTTACACAGCTTTCCGGACGTGGGTAGACATTACAACTCCCATCATCCTCTTCCAATCGTCTTGAAACTCCCTCCAGTTGGTCATGATGGGTGTTGAAACCCCACCAGTATTTTAAGTTGGTCATGATGGGGATGTGTGCCAGGTTTCGGCCAGATCCATCATTGGTGGGATTAACACAGCTCTCCAGATGTGGGTGGTCTACAACTCCCATCATCCTCAAACTCACACACACCCAACCCTTCAATGGTTTTAAATCATATCATGGCATGTATGTCATGTTCGGTCCAGATCTATGTACGTTGGTGGGATTTACACAGCTTTCCGGACGTGGGTAGACATTACAACTCCCATCATCCTCTTCCAATCGTCTTGAAACTCCCTCCAGTTGGTCATGATGGGTGTTGAAACCCCACCAGTATTTTAAGTTGGTCATGATGGGTATGTGTGCCAGGTTTTGGTCAGATCCATCATTGGTGGGATTAACACAGCTCTCCAGATGTGGGTGGACTACAACTCCCATCATCCTCAATCTCTCTCWCACACACACACYCTCAACCCTTCAATTGTTTTAACTCATATCATGGCATGTATGTCATGTTTAATCCAGTTCTATTTACGTTGGTGGGATTTACACAGCTCTCCGGATGTGGGTAGACATTACAACTCCCATTATCCTCTTCCAATCGTCTTGAAACCCCACCAGTATTTTAAGTTGGTCATGATAGGTATGCATGCCAGGTTTTGCTCAGATCCATCACTGGTGGGATTAACACGGCTCGCCAAATGTGGGTGGACTACAACTCCCATCATCCTCAATCTCTCTCWCACACACACCCAACCCTTCAATTGTTTTAAGTCATATCATGGCATGTATGTCATATTCGATCCAGATCTATTTACYTTGGTGGGATTTACACAGCTCTCTGGACATGGGTAGACATTACAACTCCCATCATCCTCTTCCAATCGTCTTGAAACCCCACCAGTTGGTCATGATGGGTGTTGAAATCCCACCAGTATTTTAAGTTGGTCATGATGGGTATGCGTGCCAGGTTTCGGCCAGATCCATCATTGGTGGGATTAACATGGCTCTCCAGATGCGGGTGGACTACAACTCCCATCATCCTCAATCTCTCACACACCCAACCCTTCAATTGTTTTAAGTCATATCTTGGCATGTGTCTCATGTTCGGTCCAGATCTATTTACATTGGTGGGATTTACACAGCTCTCCGAACGTGAGTAGACATTACAACTCCCATCATCCTCTCACAATCGTCTTGAAACCTCACCAGTATTTTAAGTTGGTCATGATGGGTATGTGTGCCAGGTTTCGGCAAGATCCGTCATTGGTGGGATTAACATGGCTGGCCAGATGAAGGTGGACTACAACTCCCATCATCCTTAATCACATAAAACATACCCAACCCCAAACCAGATCAAGGCATATGTGTCAAGTTTGGTCCAGATCCATCCTCGAATTTAAATTTAAGTTGGATCATAATGAGTATGTTTGATCCAGATTCATCAAACTACGTAAGAGCCTTTGTGGATCCAAACATAAATAAATGTTGGCTCTGTCAGAAATATTAAATATTCATTAGGTATTTTTAATTACAAAATATGAGTTGAGTACTGAAAGGCTTACATGGATGCAATGACTCAGCAAAAGCTGCAGTTCAATATAAGCCGGTGTGCCTGTAATTTAGTAGGCATCAGTCTGCAAGAGGTCTCAGTGGGAGAAAGACCTCAGTCTGTGACAGGCCTTGGTGTGAGAAGGCCTCAGTATTAGCTCGCCTACAGTTTGTGAGAGGTTTCTGTGGGAGATGGGCCTCAGTGTGTTAGAAGGTCTTAGTATGAGAAGGCTTCAGCGTTGGTAAGCCTCAGTGTGAGAAGGCCTGGTGTTTGGTTCATCTCCAATTCTAAGCCAAAGAGCCGGCATTGTCCGTAGACACCTCCTAGGTCATGTGGACAGCATGACTGTATGTAGCACCGTTGCCTTCCCACCAGAGCGATACCTATTGATCTACTCACATTTGCATGTTTTCGAACTGCTAGGTTGGCAGAAGCAGGGGCTGACAG